TTGTATGTATATATATATTTATATATAGCATGGATGATTTTAATAACGAAATAAAAATTGTATACTATACATGCTCAAAGACATTGCAATTATATACCTAAGTTATGCTCATTTTAGTTCAAGTTCAAGAATCTTCATTATCCCCGAGGGACAGTTTGTTTCACATTCAGTAGGCACACAAAACATTCATACATTCATAATCAGGTCTGTTGTGTAAATGAGTTCTCGTGGCTCAGTAGGATTAACCTGTCTAAATAAACGTTGATTGAATACTACACAAGGCATTGAGACAACAAAATAAAAGTATAAAAATCAACGTTGTTTGCTGAGAAGCCTGATCACTCCAGGGATGAATGAGTTTTTCAGCCTGTTCATTTTACATCTTGGCTGCAGACACCTGCACCCAGATAGAAGGAAGCTGAACTCACCATGGAGTGGATGATCAAGATCTGCCAGAATCAGCCTGGACTTGTTCACTGACCTCACCTTGTGTAGGTCAGTGAGGTTCTGTAGGGCTATGCCAGCAGTTTTGCTGCACATCCTGACAATCCCTGAGAGTTTGTTGCTGTTTTTGCACGTCAAAAGTCCAAACCAACTGATGAAGGTGAAAGTTAAAAGAGACTCAAGAAAACATAAATATAACATTCTCATAAAAGTCGAATCTACATTAAAACCACGGAGCTTCTAATAAAAATACTTTCTCTGGTGGACCTTCTTACAAAGTGAGTTAACATTTGCACCAAACATCAGTTTGTCGTCCAGAACAGTTCCCAGATGTTTATATTGATGCACCACCTCTATAGCTTCACTGTTAATGATCACAGGAGCTGCAACTGAAGAGTCTTTTCTAAAACGGAAGACTCACAATTGTTCTTCTGTACAAGACAGTAACAGTCAGCAGAGGGTGCTATTTGCTGCATCACAGCTAAATTAAATAGTTGCACAAGGCTGCCTCCGGATACCCAATTTATCAATAGTGGGGAAGGTGAGAAATCTGGGTCAAACAAAGCAAACACTGGCAGACACATTCAAATTGAACTGTACTCCGGGCGATGCTCTACTGTGTATTTATCATGTTCTTTTTGAAACAAGGTCATCTCAATCACTTGACTGTGAGTCGCATGCAGTTTCACACACGTGCACTCACACATGCACACAGAGCGCTCTGTGGCAGGCATTTTAAGTGACGAGTGATCATGCTGGTTTATAATGGGATGCTAATGGGGGACTGGCACAGCTTACAAGCATCATACGGGCACTCGGAGCAGGAGAGAAGGAGCTCACACTGAATTCACATACATGTCCTCCTCTTGCAGGAGAACACACAGGCCATCGGAGCACGTCATTCACAAGCACAAGTTGGAGCCTCCTTTGTGGAAAGAGACAAGGTGGCAAAGATGGTGGGTGAAACTATTTCTGTCATTTGTCAGGGATTTTACGCTCAGGGCGCAGTGGAGCGCTGAGCTGCTGTTTGAAACCAGCAAGAAAGAGAAGTGAGTCGTCATCAGTGGCATGGAATCAATCAGCTGAAACTCAAAGCATACTGATGAGTCGACATGGTCAGCCAGACAAATTCACTTGGAAGAGCTATGAGTGCAGTCTGGTGGGTGCCAAGAGTGATGAGCAGAAGTGGAGGAGGAGGAAGGGAAGAGGAGGTGTGTGTGTTGTGGGGGGGGGG